CGAGACCGGGACCGGGACTCACTCGGGCAGGTAGGGGGAGGAGAAGCTGCTCCAGCGGTGCAGGGTATAACCCAGCACCCGGCTCTCGGGGCCCGCCGGCCCCGCCGCCGCCATCTTGTTGTCAGCAGCGGCAGCCGCGGCCCCGGCAGCGACCGCGGGGGGCGGGGCCGTGCTCTTAAAGGGGCCGCGCCGGCGTGGGGGAGGACGGGCCGTGGGGGAGGACGGGCCGTGGGGCTCCAGTGGGGTCTAGAGGGGGACAGCCCCTGGAGCTGGGGAGGGGGTCCGCCGCGGGGCTGCTAGTGGGCTGTGGGGCTCAGGGAGACGCCTCATGGAGCTGAGGGGGGGCTCAGGGGGAGGCCCCGTGGGGCTGAGGTGTGCTGTGGGGCTCAAGGAGACACTGAATGGGGCTGAGGGGGGGTCGGGGGAGGCCCAGTGGGGCTGAGGTGGGCTGTGGGGGGCTCAGGGGGAAGCACCGTGGGGCGGGAGTGGGGTGTTGATTGCCAAAGGGGACATCTCCTCTCCCGGCCCCGCGGCGGTGAGTGCTTGGGAGAGGGATCTAGGAAAACCCAGTGGGGTTGATCCTGTGCTGGCTCCTGCACCAGTTCCCTGTCGCGGGTAGCAGAGTTAACCTCCCTTGCTCCGTTTTATCAGCTGAATATTTGACCGTGTATACTTAAACTTCCCAGGAAGCTCGTTTTGACATTTCTGCCAGTTTTTAAATGCTGGAGGGGCTCAGTTTTTTTCTTTTCCAAGAAGGAGCTATTAAAGTCACCATAAATAACAGTAAACAGATAAATAAAAGTAAATAACAACTAAAATGAAAATGTGGATGATCGAGTGGTGCCCAGATTTAGCTTTTGACCAACAGTCCCGTTTGAAAGCAATTGCAAATTGAGCACTGGGCGCCAGAATTAATCAGGGTTTGTTGGGTTTTTTTTTTATCTTGGGTCATTTTTTCAGTCCATACAACAACTCATCTACGTGCTTCATGGAGAGACAACCTGGAGGCTCAGGTTGGGATGGAACCCAAGTGGTTTCCGACATCTTGCGCACTGTCATATTTAATAACTTCTTTTTTTTTTTTTTTGCTCTGGATTTTAGGAAATAACTTGTATTTAATCATAGAATCACAGAATACCAGGTTGGAAGGGACCTCAAGGATCATCTGGTCCAAACTTTCTTGGCAAAAGCATGGTCTAAGGATGGCCCAGCACCCTGTCCAGCCAAATCTTAACAAGTGTCCAATGTTGGGGCATCCACCACTTCCCTGGGGAGATTATTCCAATGGCTGATTGTTCTCATTGTGAGAAATTTTCCTATTGTGTCCAGTCAGAATCTCCCCAGGAGTAACCTGTACCCATTACCCCTCGTCTTTTCCACGTGACTCCTTGTGAAAAGGCATTCTCCGTCTTCTTTGTAGCCACCCTGTAAATACTGGAACATGGTGATAAAGTCTCCCCTAAGCCTTCTTTTCTCAAGGCTGAACAAAGCCAGTTCTCTCAGCCTTTCCTCATAGGGCAGGCTTCCCAGTCCTTGGGTCATCTTTGTGGCCCTTCTCTGGACCCTCTCCAGCCTGTCCACAGCTTCTTTGTATAGCGGGGACCAAAACTGAACACAGTATTCCAGGTATGGCCTGACAAGCGCTGAGTAGAGTGGGATAATGACTTCTTTATCTCTGCTGGTGATGCCCTTGTTGACGCAACCCAGCATCCTGTTGGCTTGCTTTGCCGCAGCAGCACACTGTTCACTCATATTGAGTTGATTGTCCACCCAGGTCCTTTTCCACAGAGCTGCTCCCCAGCCGGGTAGATCCCAACCTGTGCTGCACTCCTGGATTGTGTTTTCCCAGGTGCAAGACCTTACCTTTGTGTTTGCTGAGCTTCATAAAGTTCTTGTTAGCCCACTCTTCCAGCCTATCCAGGTCTTTCCGCAGGGTGGCTCTCCCTTCCAAAGTGTCCGCTCCCCCACTGAGTTTGGTATCATCAGCAAACTTCATCAGGGTACACCTGATCCCATCATCCAGGTCACTTCTGAAGATATTAAACAGATATTAAAATATTAATCATATCTTCCTTTGCAGTTGATGCTCCTGAATAATTCACTGGCAGCACCAGTACCTCTCTGGGTCTGTGATGTCGTGCTTGGTTTGGAGGGAAGCTCCCATCGGGATCTCCAGACCTGCACCAGGTTTATTTTTCAGTGCTTTGGCCCTCTGCATGGCTGCGTGCCAGGAGGCTGGCTCTGAAACCCCAAACACCTACGGGACCAGCACGTAAGCTGGGTATTCTTTGACACGTTTCTCTATCTGAGGTTGTTGTAGGGTTTTTCATGGTGAAGGGAGATGTTTTCACCCACAGGCCCCACCAAAGCAGGAGGGAGGCTTGGGACATCCCTGGGGCAGCTCTGGGCTGCTTGAGAAAGCAGAGGAGATATTTCAAGACCAGGGGGGGAAAAAAAAGCCAAACAAATAAACAGCTGTCTGTTGGACATGACAGATTGGAGACATATTATCAGGCAGGACAGCAAGATGCCTGGCTAGATTAAATTAGCACAAGGATTTTTTTTTTTCCCCTTTATTTTAGGAAAGCGAGTGAGAATGTGGCAGCAAAATCTGCCTGCAGATGAAAAACTCCTTCAGCAGCCTTGAAGGCTGAACGTCAAGTGGTATTTTAAAAGCAAAGGGGAGCAGCAAGCGCTTCCTCTCAAGACCCCTGCCCAGGAGGGGGGTTCTCAGCGTTTTCACTGGTATCAAAGCCACGCAGCTCTGCAACAGCGCAACAAAGTCCATGCACGAGGCACGAACGTCCACACCTCCCTCCACTCCTGCACTAATGAGGCTTTTTGAAGTTTGTGGCCTTGCCGTGGCATTTCAGACTTCACTTATCCAAACTTCTGTCTGCAGGCATCCCCCTCCCAAAATTACCGTGGGAGTATTAAAAGAAATAGTTTACTAAAGATCTCACTAATAATATACTCCCAACCCCGGAGGAAGAGATGCTACCTCAGCATTTGGAGCCTCGCTAACAACCAGCCGGAGAGGAGTGATGCTGTGTAAAACTTGTGACCTTCGAATATGAAATTTAGGGGAAAGCGAGCGAGCAGTGGGCGAGAGCCCTGCAGCAGCCGGGAGGAGGAGGAGGAGGAGAAGCCAGCAGCCCCCTGCTCGCCACTGCACAGTGCAAACCACCCTAGGATTTTCTCTGCTCGCTATCCTGTTACCACTTGAATCAAGACCTGGATGCCGAGGCAGCTTATTTTTAGCACATTTTGGACTTAAAGTGAAGTGAATGCTGATGAAATCTGCAGTACTGACAGCCCTGGAAAATCTTTATTCATCTGCAGCATAGGCAGCAGGGAAGGCAAAGCAATTCCGAGCTGCAAACCGAGTCCCCCAGTTTCTCGGGCTCAGCCTGCCCAGCACTCTGCAGTTACTGGTAGTCACTGGGAGAGGGTTTTTCCACACTCTGAGTGGACCGAGCACGGTGGGGAGGAGCACGATGTGCAGGGGAGCGGCATGCGGCAGATTTGGACAGCCTGGAGCCTCCAGCTGAGCTCTCTGCATCCCCATCAGGGTGGCTGCCAGAGCAGAACTGTGGTGGCGGTGGGGCCGTAAAAATGAGAGAGACTCGGAAAACATGAGTATCTGAACCCTGCTCTGCTAGTCCAGGGCCATGCTGCGTTTACAGCACTAATGCAACGCTGGATCCATGCAACCTTGGGGGCCCAATGGCACCGACACTGGTAGCGACTCAGACCCACTGCTTTAGGGAAAAACCCCAAAGAGGGCACTTAGGAAGCAAATACCGTGCAGAACAGTCCTATTTCTGACCCCCTCGCTTGGGACCTTGCTGAAACCCTCCAGCACAACTTGATGCCTGCCGGACCTGAGCTGGCCGGGTAGATCTGTGCTGCCTGTGGCTGGCTACTTTGTGAGAATGGGGCTGCAGAGGGGAAGCGAGAGCTTTCCTAGCAGCAAAAATGGGTCTCTTTGGCGTTCAGGGCACAGCTTGCCAGAGAGCCAGGAGGTCCCTGGACGGGTGCCTTGGATGGTAGCTGGAGTTGCTGGGAGAGGCCAGGGTGACCACAAGAGATGTGCCCCGCATCTCTTTGCCGGGAGGATGCGCGCACGGTGTTCACATGCTTGTCGTCAGTAAGCTTGAAATCCAACCATGGGCAGCTCGGGGATTTGACAATTGTTTGTGTCTGCCTTGAGACAAATATCTCATTCCCCCCGTCACAAACTTGCTCCTCTACCGCGCGTGTGTTTTGAGTTTCCTCATGCAAAACCTGCGTGGGTGTTTGGATATGTAATGAGCACATAGTTCAGGATGAAAACAAGTTGCGTGGAAGAGCCAAGTAACGCCAAAAAAATGAAAGCAATACAAACAACAACATGGCACACGGCCATACCAGCTAGATTATGGGCCAGCCGGATCTCACATACTCCCCGGAGCTGCAGAGCCGATCAGCTGTTGGAAAAAGAGACCTTTAAAGACAAGTGAGAGGAAATAGCATTGGCAGTGCAGGCCACAGCATGTTTCCTTCCAAAGCAGGACGGAGCCAAGGACATTAGGCAGAGCCGTAACATTTGGGGTCTCGTTGCTCAGCCATGAAGTAAGGCGAAAACCTCAAGTGGGCTGCAGTTGTGTAAACTCCTATTGTTTTCTGAGCGGAAGCGGAGCGCTGGCCTGACGGGGTATTGTCGTACCAGATTTTGGCGATGCTCGCTGACGTAACCAAGCTCCCTCTGCAGAGCCAGGGCTTCATTTTAACCCAGTATGTTGTGCAGGGGCAATAAACTCGCCTGCCTGCGCTGGACCCCCGCTGGAGAGCATCATCCCAAGCCAAACATGTGCTCCCTCCCATAGCGTCTTCAAAGAAAATTACCTCTAACCTGGCAGCAAGGCTGGAGTGGGACTAGAGGCAATTCCAAAAAACTCCCCAAACCATCATCATCTCTCATTTTGATGACCCGATGGAAAAAAAGTGGCACAGCTGATTAATAGACCCGTTTTCTGCAAGGCCTCAATGCATTTCCACACTGAAAAGGGGTAAGAGCAGGCCTCAAAGACAGGTTATTTCATTTTTTCCCCAACTGGGGAGAGGGATCATCTGTGCCTACTTACAACGTAGTAAAAC